TGGGTAATAAGAGGGAGAAGCAAGCAAATGATTAATCAAAGCAAGGGTAAGCCACTGAAACCCTTGAAAAGCAAGTGAATGGTTATCCAAAGGGAGAAGCTGAGCTAGGGGTGGTGGCACATGTCTGTAATTCCAGCTACTTGAGAGCCCAAGACAGGGGAAATACAAGTCTGAAGTAAACTTGGGAATTTAGTGAGATGTCTAAGAACTAAAAAAAAAAAAAAAAAATCCATTAAAAGCTATGGTTGTAGCCCAGTGATGGAGCACTTGTCTAGCCTGGGTTTAACCCTCAGTATCCCCCCAAAAAGGGGGTGCAAGGCACTGCACTCCTTGAGAAGGGGAGAAAATGGCTAATCAAAGGGCTGAGCATTGCACTTCCTGAGAGAAGAAGCAAGATGGCATGGGAAAATTCGATGAGATCAATGCTAATAACTAAACCCCACCTCATCCAAAGGCACCTGCGTATTTTTAAAAATCCTATGAATAATTAATGATACTCCTTTGAGGCCTCATAACAGTGATTTGTAGCCTTTGTTTGGGGCTTCTCTGTCTGCGCAGTAGCCAGCTCTGCTGTCCTTTGGAAGATCGCTCTGCCTATGGAACAGCCTGCTTTGTCTCTTAACTAAACTACGGTACCTATGGGACAGTCAGCTGAATTGTGCTCTAATAAAGTTTCACTGCAATTTAATGAAAACCAGTCTGTGTTTGATTTCCATGCTGCACAGGGCAAGGATCTTCTCTAGCCAGTGACTCCTGCAGAGGATATACAGTTAAAAGCTATCATTTCCAGATGCTCTTGCAGTTCTCAACACGATTGCCTTCGGTCAAGCAAAATGAAGATTTAAACTCAGGCATGGCACTGAACCCTGCTTTACACTGCCACTCTACAGAGGAGGAAATAGGGGCTCAAAGTGATAAAGTGACTCTTTTGAGGGCCCCTGTTTGGTAATAGAGGAGAAAAGATTCCACATACCCTGCCTCTTGTGTAAGGCTGTGCCTCTGCTCGCCAAAGGGGATGTAGCCAGCACCTCTGATCATGCACTCTGGGCAATCAAGATTGTGTGAACCGTTCTCACAGAACGAAGGTATGAATTGTGTCATTCACCTTTTCATAGACTCTTGGTTTGTGGCTGCTGGAAGTCATCTCACCCTACGCTTTCTGCACCTCATGCCTGTTCTCAGAGATAAGTAAATGATTCTACTTTCTCAGGGACATCTGTGGTAAGTTCATGCTCTAGTTTCCTTTCATAGCTGTTTTCCACACATTCTGCACCAGCCTCAACACAGGGGTTCTGGTGTGGGGACAACCAGACTAATCCCAGGGAGACCTTCCTTAGCATGTGGAAATCCTGCTAGCCTCCATCACCACTGTGAGATCCTATCATTATAACAGACACATGAAATGCCACCTTGGTATTTCTCCATGTGCAGTCTTGGGAAGGAGCTGCATTTCAAAGGGTTTGTGGAAGTCTGAGAGAAGTATAGTGTGGCTGATAAGGCCTTGGTAAGAATAGCAAAGTCCCACCCAGACTTTTGTTTACCTCAATATTGTGAAGATGTCTTCCTTTTACAAAACTTATAGGAATAGGGATTGTTGGATGAGCTTTATCATGACTCCTGCTGGCTGACCTCCTTTATAAATAGCTATACTTTCTCTGTTTCTAATATCATCTACCTACAACTGCCACAGAACTCCCCAGTGGGCCGGATTATACCAGACACTTGCCGGGGAGCCTTGCAGTGCTTCAGGATGCAGGCCCCACTTGGTCGCTTTGGTTCCCCAGGGCCAACTGGAGTTCTTGGCTTCAAGTTTGTGCTCAATGAACACTTACCAAATTAAATCAAATTGCTCCATCAAAGGACAAAATTACAACAATTTAGTTTAATGATCTTAATTGGCTTTATTTTGTGATTCTAGAATTGTGCAAAACTTTATTCCATAAAACACAGAATAAATATTCTAATGGTCCAAACAAAGGAGGTTTTCTTTATAAACAAAGAAAGGCTGAAGAATGCAGAAATAAGGAGAAATCAGATTTTTGAATAGATGGAGTTGGAAGGGAGGAGAGAGAAATGGATGAAAAAAAGATTTGAGGTATGTTATATACATGTACCAACTCCCCACAAGGAATATAATTACTAATGTACAGCAAACACATACTAAAAAAATAGAAACAACAATAGCAAAAAGAAATGAAAACATTTGACTGTGATTAATTTGAAAGAGAAAGGAGAGAAAGAAAGAAAGGAAAAAAGAAAGAAAGGAGAGAGAAAGAAAGAAAGAAAGAAAGAAAGAAAGAAAGAAAGAAAGAAAGAAAAAGAAAAAGAAAAGAAGAAAGAGAGAGTAATGAGAAAATAACTGGTTATTTCAAGGCAAGTAATGATTAAACCAGAGAAAGCATCATTATTATGCCAGTGGGAACTAGTCTTCTTGGGAAATTCAGCTGTTATCTCTCTAACCTTCATATCTCAAAACTTTAGCATGAGCAACTCCATTTTTAGTGGAATCTGTTAGTGCCTAGTGAAGGAGTTTAGTCCCGAGCTGTAATTTTTATTTAACACTTCTAAAATCAAATAATTTAGTCTTCCCTCCCCCATTCCTGTTTTGCAGAGCAAGTGAAAACAATGACACTTCTCCATGCATTTTTCTTCATACCTTCCCTGCCAGTTTTCACTGAATTTGTGCAAAGATGACATATGGGATGCAAACAGAGAAAATGGAAATTAATGAGAAAACTTGGGAAAAGCCAATTGGGCTTAATTTGACCGCTCCTTTTATATTTCATTATGTTTCACAGCCTGCAAGTGTAGCTATATTTAAGTCTTACAAGTAACATTAAATAATTGGTCCTATTTCTGCCAATAAAATTATTCCTGCTGTCCCTTTGTTACTGTCCTCTGTGGAGCTCATCTCCTGCAGGGGTTTCTCCATCTCAATGAGCAGAAGACCTGGCCCCTGGTGTCATTCTATCCTTTCATTTTCTGCATAAACACACAGAGTCATACAGACACACCTGCACACATACACACAGAGTCCATGGCTATTTCAAAACTTTAAAATGTTTCTGTGTGGACACTTGTGGTGTGAAATAAAACTAGATTTTCTGATATGATCAGTGGTTTCTTGTAGGACAAGAAGATTCTACTTCTCTCCTTAGAAAATGTGGAGTGCTGACAGGACCACTGCCTAAAATGGCCAAATTCATCAAACATAGTTCTCCCTCAGACAGAAATGCATTTGTGTGCAAACAATTTGGTTCATAAACAGAAGTGTTCAACAAAATTATGCTTTTATTTGCATCAGGTGACAAACTTGACTAGGCCCATCTTTCCCTCACAAACACAAATGCAGCCATCTTTTCCAGAATTGTAGAGCAAATTAAAGTCATGAACCGAGGTACCACTGTGTATGGTTGCCCTCTGTGATCTCTCTATTTCCTGCTGGAAGTCTAGGATTCACAGGAACTTTTAAGTCAATTCACATACTTTTACTCAATAAGACTTGTATAGTTCATCAGTCCTAGGGTCAAACATATATGTGCAAGACACAAACTTCTTCTATTTACCCCATAATTAGCCTCAATGTCTACCTACATCTCCAATCTGCACTCTAAGTAATCTCAGCTGATTGCAGATCATCTCAATCAAGTCAGGATCTCTTCAATCAACTCAAGGGCTTCCTTACTCCCCAGCTCTCTCTACTATCTAAGGGGCCCATGCAGGCCCACAGCATTATGGGCCATCAGTTTCTGTGTTTTGTGTTATCCTAGGTCCTCAGATGCTTGGTAAGTCTGCATTGTCCCAGGTCAGTGGTGGTGAACCCTTTAGAGTTTCCAATGATACAAATGCCCTGCTGCAGCACACACGCCATAGGTTTACCACCACTGTCCTAAGTCCTCAGATGTTTGCTAAGTGGACACATCAGATTAGCCTTGCTCATTGTTTTAGTCAGTTTTCTGTAACAAATACCAAAGATAATCAAACAAAAGGGTTATTTTGGCTCAGTTTTAGAGGTTTTGATCTATGACCAGTCAGCTTCGTTGCTTTGGGATGGTGGAGAGGCTAGATGCATGTGGTAAAGCAAAGCCGTTCATCTCATGCCCTGGACATAAAATATAAGAGTCTCACAATTCCCTTTGAGGGAATGATCCAAGTGACTTAAAGTCTCACACTGGGCCCATCACTTAAAGTTTCCATCACCTCCTGATTTCCACATGGATGAGGTGGGAACCAAGCCTTTAATACCTGGGTCTTTGAAGAACATTCTAGAATCAAATCGTAGCAGCTGTCCACCCTCACTTATAACTCTGCATCCTCACCAGTTTCATCCCATTAGCTGCTCCCATCCCTCTCTCATGGGTGTATGAATTTTTCATCTCACATGTTGACAGTTTATCTCTGGTCTTCTTTGTCTAGATGTGATACATCATTTCTACTCTACTGAGCCTATGAGCCTAGGAAATATACACATTAATTACCTCCCTGGATCTCAACTGCAAAAAAAGGAAAGACTGGTTCACTCTCAGATATCCCCAATAATCACCAACCTCCATGTCTTGTGGTCTGTTTGTTCCCTCAGGGCCCAGCTTTGGAGGATGGATGGGTGCAGGGTGCACCTCTCAAAGATCACCAACTTCTCTCTCTCTGACCCTTCTACCTGTATAATTCCTTCTTTCGCATGTTTACCTGAATTCCCATTTCACACATAAGAAGGCAGGAGAATGTGCATTTGGCCCTATCGCATGTAATTCCAAATTTTTCTTTTCATCTGTCAGCAGGACTTTGGGCTTTTGAAAATCTAAAGATTTGATTCTTTTGTTTCACAGTTCTATTGTGTCAGTCTTCTCTTGAGACACTTGCAGTCTGCTGCCAGAGTGAATGAAGCCTTTAAAAAAAAAACCACACATCTGTGAATATATCAAAATATGGTCCCACTGAGGCTTTATTTGTAGGGCAGTGAGTGGAGCGAAAAGAGCCTGTATCTGACAGTTCCCATTGTCTCACTCCCATTTGCTGGCTCCTGAGCAGCAGTGAGAACTGCAGAGGCAGCCACATTTGCCAGAGGGTGATGCGACATTCAAACCTGGCACAGTGGAGCTGGAGCCTTCACTGTGGGGTGAGGTGGTGGGAGAATGAGTTTTCTGCCTTCTACACCCGAGGCTGTATTGCCACACCATCTGGAGCCAGAAGGAGAGAAAGGGGCTGAATAAATATAAGGTGTAAATGCACGGAGCGTAAACGCATGAAATTGGCAATGACTAATTCATCATCTCACAAATCTGTCTTTACAAAGTGAAATAAAAATCAAGTCCATTTGAGCAATATGGAGGGAGTGCAGCTTTTCCAAGAAGAGCTAATGAAGGGGGGAGGGGAATGGGGAACTGCTCAGAAAATATGCAAATGTATGAAATTGGCAGATTTGGATGACACTTCGGGGTGATTAGTATGCTGATTGGTGTGCTTTGAGCAGCACTAAGGAAGCATCGTATTGTTTCCTTTAAAAAAATAATAATAAAGTGGAATAAAAGAGGCGAGGGCTTCCTAAAGAGGCTGAGTCTGCAAAGTCAGCTGTGCCTTTGTGAATGGCGAGAAGAGCCTTGTGTGAATGCTGTCTACCTCGTGGAGCTGTCTTTGACGCAAGCCTGGCATAAGATATTTTATTTACTTATTCATGCATTCAACAAAGACTTGACCGTACCTACTCTGTGTGAAGCACAGTGCTATACGCTTAGGAAACAAAGAAAAATCATTCATGGTCTCTGACCTTGAGGAGCTTGGGGTCTGCTAAGACAGAGAATATATGTTGTGTCCAGCAGAACAAGCGCTAAGACATGAAGATCTCAGCCAAGTGATGTTGTAGCACCGCTCAGAAGAGGAGATGCATTCACATAGCAGAATAAGTCGGGAGGGGGCTGGAGAAGGCTCACGCAAGATGATATTTAAGCTGAATTTGAAGGATGCATAGAATTTTTCCAGATGGAGAAGTAGGCACAGGGTACTTGAGGCAGAAATAACCACATAAGCAAAGGCATGGAGACATGAAAGAACTTGACACATTTTCTGGGAATGGCAAGGTGCCTGGTGAAGAGTTCATCCTGAGTCCACCCTCCTGACAGTAATCGCCAGACTGACTGGTGGGGCAGGAAGCCCAGGCTCCTCAGAGCGCAGCAGCATTGGCGCAATAGAGAGGGGACCTCTCAGTACAATGAACCATTTTCCAGCTTTCTGGGTACTGGATTCCCTGGAGATAATGGTGATCAATCAAGAACTGAATCTTCCCACATCTCCTAAAAATCCAGAAAGCAACTAGAAGAAAAAAGCCAACTCCTTTGCTACATGTAAAATTATAACTGCAGCTTAATTCAGAGGAAAAAAAGACTATCAATCCTAGTTTACGCAGGAGTCAAGTAATGGGTGTTTGGGTTGAAAAAAGTCAGAGATGAATGCAGACCATTGTGACAAACACGCGGCTGGGTAGAAGGCCACAGCGTAAGGAACACAATGACCTGGTTCACCTGGTGAGAGAGCCTCCTTCACTAGGGTTCACTGAGAGAATTTAGGAAAATGGTAGGTAAGTCCGGAGAAGCACACAGGGAGAGAGAGACAGACTTGGGAACACACTGATTTGGGAGAAGAGTTAGGAAAGAGCTTTGGAAGATGATGGGTCTCCTCGGTACCAGACTGCCAAGGAAGGAAGTGGCTGGTAGAAAGAGTCCTTGCGGATCTGAGGTGACCAGCTCACCTCATTTCACTTAGGACCTTCTCAGGTTTCAAGCTAAAACTCCCACATCTGGGGAAACCCCTCAGTCTCCAGCAACATGGAAAGAATGGTCACCCCACTTCTATGCAAAACAGAATAAAGTTTCAGAAGCAACTAGTTCTCGACATAGAGGCACCACATGTACGCACTGTAAGCACAGAAGAGGAACTCTTGCAAGTGACAGACTGGAAAAGCTACAGAAATTTACCAAAGGCAGCACTGTTCATACCTAGTTCAAGAAAATCCTTCTCACGTAAGCTATTGGTGCTCAGCTGCTTAAAATCATGTGACCTCCAGCAAGTCCCTGTGAGGCTGAGATTTTCCTTCCATGAAAGACAGCTAATAGTGTATTTTTCATTGCTATCCTTTGTCTGCATGCAGTAAATATAAACTTCCTTTCCTCACAATGGCCTATGGCCCTGCACTTGCAGCCTAACTTCCACCCAAGAGATGACAATGGCTTAAGTAGCTGGTTCCAAATAAGCAGATACATTCTGTGACTTCATTGTCTCTGTGGCACAAACTCCGCCTACACTGGGATCACTCCCCTGGGCCATCTGGAGGCATTTTCATTCCCTCCATGGCAGGGCAGGAGTGCACATTTAAAATAGTTCATCAAGGTGACAGCATATTTAGCAACTTAATGGAACACCTCCCTATAAGCCCACACTAACAGAGAAATCCTGTGTTGCCAACAATAAGAGTTAATTAAAAGTCCATCATGTTCAGTCAAGCTGATGTCCCTTTGGAGCAAATCACTGAAAGTGCTAATTACTTATAACTTCAAACAGCCAGGCTTTCATCATTTGTGCAACAATAATAACTGCAAAGGTGAAAATTAGTATTCTGGACTTCATGTAAATTTGACAGCCATATTCATGATCAGGGTGACACATGAGTAGGGCCATCACAGACCACAGTACATTACCATCACCTAATCCAGTTATACCCAACTGTCTGTCATCACCTAAGACAGGAATTTGGCTCAGCAAGGTAAGAGCTGTTTGCATAAAGACCACAGAAGATATGCATGTGTTTCCAACCTTTTCTGCATCCAAATTTCAAGCACTTCATAAGCAGAACTTTTTGAACTAAAATATAAGGCTTTTAATTGGTTGGATGGCATTTCCTTCTCCAACCCCCAAATCCATGTTGGAGTCCTAATCCCCAGTACTTTTCACTGTAACCTTATTTGAACATAGTATCTTTATAAATATAGTCAAATCAAAGTAAGGCCATGGGGGAAAGCCCTTATTCAGTATGATTTGTGTCTTCATAAAAAGGAGAAATCTGGAGATGGTCACATATAAAAGGAATACACCATGAGAACAGGCAGATGACAATCTACAAGCCAAAAGAGGTGTGGAAAAGATCCTTCCTTTACAGGTCTCAGGAAGAACCACCCATGTCAACACCTCAGTCTTGAACTTCTAACCTCTGTTACTGTGAGACAATAAACTACCTTTTAAGAGACACAGTTTATGGTAGTTTGTTATAGTAACCCTAGCAAAACTCATACAGGATATATTTCTTGATAGAAACAATGGAGATATGTTTATTCACTGGTGTTTCTGTAGGAGAAAGCACTTAACAGTTTGCATTCTGTTAAGCCATTTAGAGTGGAGGGTAAGTGTTCCCCTCTCACAGAGGAGGTGATACCTTAAGCTATAAAAAAATTCCTCACTTAGCTAAAATGCATAAAAAGAGTATAACTGTTCCTCAGTGTCCATGGGAGATTGGTTCCAGAACGCCTGCAGATGTAAAATGGAATAGGATTTGCACATAAGCCATGCAGGTCTCCCTGTATATGTGGTTTGAATAATCTTTAGATTACTTGTAATATCCATCATAACTAAATGGTAGGTAAATTATTGTTATGCTGCATTCTTATTTTTATTTGCATTGTTTTATTGTATTATTATAATTTAACTGCTTTTTCCTGAATTTTTAAGCATACTTGTTGGGTCCTTGATGCAGAACCCAAGGGTATGAAGGGCAAATAGAGAGATTTTTCCTGAGTGAAGGTAGAAGGAAACACGGAGTAAGAGAGTGAGTTTGCATCACCTCACTCCCATGTGCCATGGCCACTCCACCTTCCAGATCCACAGGCTACTTTGCCAAGTGGGTTTCCTTGAACAAATCAGGGCGTTTCCTTGAACAAACCTGGGCCTGAATTTTGAATTTAGGGGTACGTTGGTGTGATCCTATTCCTAAGGAAAGAGAGCCCTGGTACACAAGATCTATACCCCATTACACAAAAACTTCCCAGTGGAACAATCTCATATCAAAACTGCAGAATGGTGGCCTATGACAGTCTTACCATAGATATGAGGATGCCCCCCTAACATGAGTTATATAAAACAGTGAACACACACACACACACACACACACACACACACACACATGTGGAATATAAAACATACACAGATGTCATTGTTGTCAAAGGGTTTCAACAACTAAAACACTTTTGTTCCAATTAATCATACCACAGCACCATTCCGTGGTCTGGTTGCACAAATAGACCTAAGCTCAATACTTCAGCCTGGTGTGAGGTACAGTAGAGGAAAAATGAGGAAGCCTATGATGAATCAGTTTGATTTAAATAATAATTTTTACAAAGATGTATGACCACAGTTAGAGCCTGACAACATCATTTACATTAAGCTCTTCCCATCATGAAATAGGCTGTAGATGGAGAATGACAAGGGCAGAAAAAATGACTGCATAATTTTTTGTGGCTCATATTGGAAGGAAATCACTGGTGCCTCACAAGACTTTTGATCAGAGCTCACTACCTCTGGAACCGTGGCCTTTTACAATCCATACTGTACTGGGATTTTTGCCTTTATTTTACCCAGTTTTAATAAGATATAATTGACAAGTAAAACTTTATCTACAGTGTTTTATCTTAATATATCATACATTGTGAAACACTCAAATAATTAGCATATCTATCTCCTCACATAGTTACCTTTTTGGTACGTGGTGAGAGTTTTAAGAGCAAGCATATTAGCAATTTGCAAGTATACAATACATTGCTATTTATTATGCATTAACTCTCCAGAATTATGTTATTTTTTAACATAATTTAAACCTTGCACCCTTTGACCAGTCTCTTCCCATTTCCCAACAAAACCGTCCCACCTAGCCCTTGGCAACTAGCATTCTACTCTCTTTCTGTGAGTGATTGATTGATGGATTGATTGGTTGATTTGGTATGGGGATGGAACTGAGGGGCTCAGGCATACAGGAAAGTGCTACACCATAAAGATATATCCTCAGCCCAAACTTAGATTCTACATATTAGTGCTGTCATGATATATTTCTTTCTGCTCCTGGCTTTTTTCACTTGTCATGATATCATCCATCTTCATCCAAGTTGCTACAAGTGGTAGGATTTCCCTCACTTTTAATGCC